AGACTTCCGTCCCTGAAAAACTGAGAATTGACTCCTCCTTCCTTCTTCCTTCCCTCCTTCCTTCCTTCCTTCCTTCCAGACAGAGCATGAGCGGGGGTGGGGTGGGGAGGGGCAGAGGGAGAGAGAATCTTAAGCAGGCTCCACGCTCAGCACAGAGCCTGATGCGGGGCTCATTCTCACAACCCCGAAATCCTGACCTGAGTGGAAATCAAAAGTTGGACACTCTACCGACTGATCCACCCAGGCGCCCCAAGAGAACCCACTCTTTCTCATCCTCCCTGCATCTGACAATGCACACACGTCTTCTGGCGTCCCCCGCTATGACTTTGGGCATATTAACTTTTTTGTGCCTTAGTTTCCTTGTAAAGAAATCATAGTACAGGGGCGCCTGGGTGGCTCAGTGGGTTAAAGCCTCTGCCTTCGGCTCAGGTCATGATCCCAGGGTCCTGGAATCGAGCCCTGCATCGGGCTCTCTGCTCAGTAGGGAGCCTGCTTCCCCCTATCTCTGCCTGCCTCTCTGCCTACTTGTGATCTCTCTCTGTTAAATAAATAAATAAAATCTTTTTTTTTTTTTAAGAAAGAAATCATAGTACACCTCCCACCCTCTCTGCTGCCGCTTCATAAAGTTCTCATGAGAAATGTAAAGACAAAGTTCTTAGAAGAGTGCCTGGCATATAGTAAAAATGCAACAAATTATTCTCCCCCGTTTTCATCTGATCCTGATGACCCTGCGAGTTGTCAGTTGGTGTCATTCCTCATCTCACAGATGGAAAGATCAGTGATTTGTCCCAGGTCAGGCGTTTGAACTTGGATCATCGTTTACTAATGTCTGTCACAGAAGAGCAGCATCTGGTAGCCTATAGGGTTAGGACCCAGCCCCGCAAAGGAAAAAATTTCTTCGGGTTAAGATGGTCTTTGAAAGACCTTCAAATCACTCACCAAGACAGTATTCATGCTTCTGTGGATGCAGCTTCATAGGATAAATAAGAGTCTCAATTAATGAGCTAAACTTAGAGGAAAAAAAAAAAAAGGAAGCTGTCTCTGCAGCTGATCTGCCGCTATCCAGACATTCAGACCATCCTGCTTTAAAGAAAGCCCAAGTATTTCTATTGCCTCCAAGATTTCTACGTATCGACTTAAAAAATTAAGCTTTTATACCTTCATATATGGCAGTGGGTTGGTCTATTGTGCACAGATTAACCAGTAATAAGGCATCTCATTTTAAGGATTAGGTTCTAAAATCGGTACTTAAATACCATGTGACTCCATTGTCTGTAGTGTTCTCTGGTATTGGTTGATGAGGTACAATACTTTAAACCCAGGGACTGTCAGGCTTTGTTAATTACCGATGCTGCAGATACTTCGACCTGTCTACTACTGTATGACACCCTTTTTCTGAGAACTGAGCCCCTTGTGAGCGGGATGCAGTGGTGTTCATATGTCATGACCCATGGCCCTCCAGCTTAGAAATAGAGGATGTGAGTACAAGAAACACACCTGACCAGTCATACTCGTCCTCTCAAGGTTCTGGATCTGGGCTTCAATAAAACTAGTCATTCTCTCCTATTCATTTAAAATAAAGAGCTATACGGGCACCTGGGTGGCTCAGTGGGTTAAGCTTCTGCCTTCGGCTCAGGGCATCATCTCAGGGTCTTGGGATCAAGTCCCGCATCAGGCTCCCTGCTCAGGGGAGAGCCTGCTTCTCCCTCTCCCTCTGCCCTTCCTCCTGCTTGTGCTCTGTCTCGCTCTCTCAAATAAATAAATAAATAAATAAATAAATAAATAAATAAATAAAATCTTATAAAAATAAAGAAAGGAGCTATACATTTGAGAGCTAAAGCATCATTTTAGGGTAACCATCTTCAATAGCATGTGAAAAGAATCAGAAAACGCTGATCTGCTGAAAAAAAATAAGTTAAAGGAAGATGTATACAGATAAGCAGGAGAGAGAAAGGTGAGGAGAGAAAGCGGTTAACTAGGAATTAAGTTACAGGGGGCTAACTTGTTGCTTTTAATTCCTTGTGAAGTTTAAATGTACCAGTTGGGTTTGGTTTCTGTTAATACTCCTATAGTCTTGTAAGATGTGTGTGTGTGTACATGTGTGTCTTTAAACTAAACTAGTGACACTCCTTACTTACATCTTCTATTTTATTTTCTAAAGCAGCACAAAGGTGTCCAACCCATGGCCATTTGGAAGCAGGAATACCAGAGTTATTTCAATTTTTAACACTTGTATTTACTTGAACCTTGGCTTGTAGACTAGAAAAGATCTTGAAAAGTCCTCTTGTGCATTTCCTTACTTCTAATTAATACTGCATCTTGCCCATTCCAGATAGATCTCCTATTTTTAGTAAAGTCCAGGTAGCCGAATTCTGTACTGTTTGGCAGTAATTCATTTTTAGTGTAAAACAGCCCTTGTAACTAGGATGCATGACCTTCCCGTGCAACATAAGTAATTCTGATTGCAATGACTCATGCTTCCCCAGCCAAACCAGGGGGCAAAATCTGTTCACACAAGAGTAAAACAGTGGTATTTCTGCACATCTGTTCCCACAATTTTAAGAATTTCAGCCTTACTTAAACCTCTATCAAATAGTTCTGGGAGTCTCCAAGAATTTTTTTCTGTGTAATCCATGAATTACCCCTCTCAGCTTTGAAGTGGCATGTGCCTTTGCCTTCCTTCAGCTGTGACTTCCTGTATCGATGGCTGTCAGGCCTGAGGAAACACACCCTTCTCCCCCAACCTGAAGAACAATCCTCCGGAAAAGGAGGCTTCAATCTGATAATTCCTCTTAATGCTTTAAATGTCCCCCAAATACTTTGGTAAAACATTACTTTCAGCTTTTCCTTGCCCGTTTTGTTTTTTTTTTTTTTTTTTGGTAACATCTTAGAGTTCAAGGTTAGAGCCCAGATTTGGCTGAGAATAACCTGAGTGATAGACATGCTATTTTCCTTAGAGCTCCTCCTGACTTTTGACACAGCTCTGTTGCATTGGGGACTGTCTTTCGTCCCTTGGTGCTCTCTTCACTCAGAGTTCCCAGGAGTCTGCTTGGCCCGTAGGCCAATAGACATTTGACAGAGCTGCCCGTCCTTCCTCAACACGGACTGCTGTGTGTCTGGGTTCTGGAATCAACGTCACTGGCTCAAGCTAGAATCCTAGTTAGACACACCTGGACAAAAAATCCTGCCAAGTACCTTAGACACTGGTGATTGGGGATACATCCTTATAGGTAGTTCTTCTTTATTAGGGTCCCGATTTATGAAATTATTACACTGTTTTCCATTTGACCTGTGGTCTCACCACATCTGTGAAATTATAGGTCATCCAATGGGTGCGTTCTTTACAGTAATGCCAAAGACGGAAGCTACTATAGACAGAGTTATTTGGGGAGGATTCTAGGACCATTTCTATAACCAGATGTCTGGAGTTGTCTCAGTCAAGCACCTAGTCAAGGGCCCATAAATGCTCAGTATACATTTACTGAGTTGAGCCGAGTGTCCTGGCCTGAGTCACCCTCAGACCTGATCTCAGATTTTCAAAGTTAATTGAAGAGCTTCCTTACGAGGTTGAGCTTGCCTTGTTGCAAAATAGTCCTGGTTCTAGTTTTTTCCTCTTAGGTCTTGTTTTCTGCCCTTGATCCTCTCTGTGGCTGCCCTCTGAGTCACCTCCAGCTTCTCCATGTCTTTTCTATGTGAGGCACAGCCACGAACAGCCATCTTCTGACTGAGTATAGTAGCGTGGTAAGGACCTACCATGGACAGCTTGGCTCTTCCTGGCCATTCCAGTGGAGGTCTTCTCCGTCCCCATCCCTCTTATGAATTATCTCCAGCTCCACACTTTCTGGGGGAATATCCTTCCACGGTTCCCTTCCCCTCTCCTTTTCCTGGGTGCCTCTCTTCTCACTCATCTTGGGGGCTATGCAATCCCAGAGTAGCTGCCTATGCACCAGCAGACAAGAGATGGTCATAGCTCGAGAGCCCAGAGGAAGGCAGTCTCTCTGGTAGGGGGCCGTCTCTTAAGGGTGGGTTAGGTCTTCATCACCTCTCTGTTGCCACCTTCCTTCCTCCACGGATCTCCCAACCTTGAGTCTCTGCTTTGCTCACAGACAACCAGGATCTCCAGGGTGGCCCAAGCCTGGGTTTGGTCAGAAGTGATCCAGGCTCGGAAGGGTTAAGGACAGGAGCCTTGATGGATGGAGAAGATTATTAGGTATCATTGAGAGAGCCGAGAAAGGGCTTTTCTTTGTGGCCTACAGTCCCCTTTCACACGATCTCTGGCTCTGGCCACTGACAGGAGAGGGGGGAAATAAAGAGGAAAAAGGAAAAAAAAAAGGTTTTCAAAATAATTTTTAAAGTCCTTTTACATGCTTGTGTTTTCATCTAGCAGCACGAATCCCAGACAGCAGTAGACCCTCAGAGGCAACAACCCATTGGAAATTGAATGGAAAAGTAGGAATCCTAGACCCCCAAACTGTCCAGTTTCTTTGGTGGGAGAGGGAGTGGGGGGAGGGATTAAGTCAAATTTTTTTGGGGGAGGGCTCAGCTCTGGGCTCTCATGGATAAAACACTGAATCAACTCCATGTGTGTGACCCGACTGTCCTGGAAACTTCAACTGGAAGAGAATCCAAACCTTAAGTTGTACTTATAACTTCAGCCCAAGTAAGAAAAACGAAGTTGGGGGGGGGCACAGGGGGGGGACCAAGTCTTGGGGGGGGGGGGGGGGCTTGGGGATGGATGCGGTGGGGACAAGGCGGAAGAGAGCTATGTCTTTAATTCTGTCCTATGGTTATACATATTTTTTCTTCTATGAATGGGTTTTGCTGTAAATTATAGCTTTGCCCGTGGTCCCTTGGGTCAAAAGAAATAGTCTCTAAACAGAAAACAGCTCTGATTGGTGACTTTCCTTCTTCCCTCCCCAACCCCCTTCCTAATTGAAACCAAATGTGCAATATATTGGATCCCTGGCGCTCTCCCAGGAATCCTCAGAATGTGAGGTTTCTCTCAAAGCATCTTGCATCAGCCTGTGGATGTATGCCTACCGCCGGGCTCCTTCGCCGGCAAAGTGGAAAAAGAAGCGTTTCACAACAAATTCTTTTTTTTGGGGGGGAGGGTTGGGGGGACGTAGTGGATTATAACTGTGTTCTTCTTTCCGAATCTCTGTACTCCTGGATGCACGTAAGTTATGTTTTTGTTTTTCTTTCCTTTTTTTTTTCTTTTCTGAAAACGAAAGCTCTGAATATGCTTCTGATGTCTCGAGAAAAGTTTTAAAAAGGAGGCAGAAAGGGGTTTCAAGGCAGCGAAGAAGAGTAGGGAATGGGGTACCATAGACTTGAGAAATCTAAGATCTCACGTTTTCTGGGGGGTGGGGGAGCGTCCTGGACTTAACACTTACGGAAGGAAGAATAAAGAACACTAAACCCAAGAAGACGGGAGCAAAACAGGAATCCGTACAGCCGCAAGATCCAATAGACAGTGTTAGCCGGGTCGGAACCGTTGGCAGGCGGGACAGGCCGATTGCAGAACTGATCTCCTTTGGCTCAGAGGAAGCGGAGCGGGGTAGCTGGGGTTTTAGGTGTTCAGTAGTGGTGTTGGAGGGTCCCGAGGCTTGAAGAGGACAATCTCTGTACTTCCATTTTCTCGCGGTGTCGCAAACTTCCTTGTGAGAAGGGCATCTTGGGGCGGAGGGTGCCTTCCCCGTGAGGTTTGGGGTGGCTGTGAGGGGCCCTGCGTGGAGGGGGCACTTCCCACCCTGCCTGGCCTGGGGTGCCTTTCCCTTTGTTACCAACAACTTGGGACCATTTGCAGTTGGGACCTTTGCGTCCTGGCTGAGGTTCAAGAGTCCCATCCAGGGAGAAAGAGAATTTTTCCGAGTGGCTGAGACTCTGGCCGGCCGGTGGTTTGAGGCGGGAGCCAGCCAGCGGGGAGGGGGTCAGCACCATTTTGCCGACTGTTTTCTGCATCCACTCCCTAGGGGAACAGGGAGTTGGAGCCCCGGGAAGAGCCTGAGAGATCCATCTGGCCCTTCATTCCGCAGATGTCGGAAATGGTAGCAAAGAGTTGACATGATCAGGGACGCACAGCGTGGTGCTGGGGCTCCAGTGGCGGGGCTGGAAATGAAACTGGGGCTTGCTTTGCTGCTAATCCAGTGCTCCTTCCACTCCTTGCCTCTACTTTCTTGTTCATTTCACGGCTGAGATAATGGAGACACTGTAATGAACAAGTCCCCACAAGGACCTTGGTTACCTGACGGGAGGATGCGAATGGTGGCCCGTCAGCTCACGGCATCTCTGGTCAAACAGTGGAACTTTGAACAACGGGGCTCAGGGCGCCGACCCCTCCGCAGACAAAAATTCACACATGACTTTTGACTCCCCCAAAACTTAACTACAAAGAGCCCGCTGTTGACCAGAGACCTTGCCGATAACAAGTAGTCAATTAGCACATAGGTTGTGTGTTACATGTATGGATGTGTGTACATTAATGCTGTATTCCTACAATAGAGGAAGTTAGAAGAAAATTTTATCAAGAAAATCGTAAGGAGGAGAAAAAAAAACATTAGCAGTATTGTACTGTAGTTATTGGAAAAAAATCTGGATTAGCAGACCCACGCAGTTCAAAAAACCTGTGTTTTTCGAGGGTCAACTCTCTTTGGTTGTGTGTGTGGAAAATAAAGCAGCAGACATCTGAGTACATACTGTGCACCAGGCTCCACGTTCAGGGTTCATATGCAATGTTTGATGAGTGGTCCCAGTTCTGGAAGACAGCTCGACTTTTATAAGGGAGAATATTATGGTTTAGCAGAGTGGAGTGAGTTACTCAAGGAAATGCAGCTAATCAGCTTGAAATTCATGTGCGCCCGACTCTAAAACCTGGCCCCCCCCATTTTTTTTAAAGTCATTTGTATTTTATTTTTTTAAATTGAGGCCTACAGCTTAATGCCTGGATATTTGTAAACATGGCCAAGTGATCAGCACACTGAGTTCGGTCACCATCTGTCTCCTCACATGGTTACACAAGACCATCGTCTTCTTGCGATGAGAGCTAAAATCGGTGCTTCCCGGCTCGGGTCAGTCGTGCTCCCCTCGCTCCTCCACACATGCACTTGGTTATTTCCCAAGTCCATTTCCACGTTTCCCTCCATGAGCAGGAGGTGAGAGAGGCGGGCTGGGGGGCGGGGTAGCTCCAAGTGTCTCGCCGGGACCACGTCTGTGCACATGGTTAAGTATCTGGGTCCCAGAAGGGGGCTGCGAGTGGGCATCTCTGTGGGCTGATTTCTGCGCCCCTGGAAATGCTTCCCTCTGTTACGCAAGGAGCCTGGGATTTAGCGTCCGAAGAACCAGGTTCAGCTTCTGGCTCTGCGTTTTACTACCTGGCAGCGTGGCTTTCCCTTCCTGCACCTTGGCCTCTGTATTTATTACATGGGAATAATGGCAATACTTTCCAGCATCCTTGTTTGCAGAGATACTGATCACGAATGTGTTCTGGAGGCTGGGAAAGGCTGAACCCATACCGTGGGGATAATGACGAGAATTCCGAACACTGGGACGCAGCGTGGGGCAGCGTCTGCCATGCTGGCCAGAGCTGGTGCTGGCAGGAGGGCGGCTGCGTTTGGCTGTGTACACAACTCAAATGGGAGGGCCCAGTTCCCGCACCCATCTCCTTTGGATGGAAGCCATCCCTCGTCCCAGGGAATATTTCCAGGGTTTCTATCTGGAGCTCCCCTCTGGTGGTGTGGCTTGGCCGTTGCTCCTCACCCGAGGAAAGCAGCAGGGGCTGGAGGACCCCATGTTGTTCAGGCGTCCCCTGCTTCGGTCCACAGCCTCTCTGACCAAGAGGGGTGTGCAGTCAGGAGCCATCCCTTGGTTTTTCCTCAAAGGAGCTTTTGAGGAGCTTCGCATCTCGCTGAGGGTAGATCCTTGACCCAAAACTTTCTTGTCCCGGGCAGGCCCACCTCACCCTGTCTTTTACCTTACGTTCCCCCTTCTGCGCCTGTAGTCAGAAGGAGAGCAGCTGCTCCTGGGGGTGGGGCTGGCAGGACGGCAGGCAGCAGGGAGGCCCCTGCCTCCACTTCGGGTTCAGATCTGTTTGCTTTATAAACACCAAAGGTAAGGGAAGCGGGGGAAGGTGTTTTCAGAATCTTTGCCTAAGAATCCTCAAACTGAAATTCCCAGCAGCATCTGCCTCTGTGAAATAATAGAAAATATATGGACTGGTCTCTGCCCCCAGGTTTTGGCACAGGACTCATAAAATCCTCCTCGTTTTCTAAGTGATAGGAGCACTGGGGACATTTTTGTTCCTGTCTTTGGTCTCTGACTCTGGTTCCTGACACAGAGTTCCTTAATCCCTCAGAATTTCCTGGGTGATGGAAGTGTCCTTTGTTCTAGCAAGTTGACTCCAGGTAGGTTCCTGGAGGGGGCCGGTCACCGGAAAGACTGAGCCCTGATTAGAGGCCTGGGATTTTCAGCCCCACCTGCTGTGCTCCAGGAAAGGGGGGAGAGGCTGGAGGGTGAGTTAATGACCCATCGTGCCTATGCGGTGAGGCTTCCATGAGGATCCCCGAAGCGTGTGGTTTGGGGAGCTTCTGGGTCAGTGAACTCGTCTATGTACTAGGAGGCTGGCACACCCCAGTCCCACAGGGACAGAGGCTCCTGTTCTCGGGCCCCTCCCAGACCTCACCTATGTGTCTCTTCTTCCAGCTGTTCATCTGTGCCTCTTATCATGTCCTTCCTTATATAATAAACTGGTAAGTGTAAGTAAGCGTTTCCCTGAGTTCTGGGAGCTGTTCGAACAAATGATCAAATCCAAGGAGGCGCTGATGGGAACCTCTGATCTGTAGCCAAGTCAGACCGACATTGTTGACCTACTGTTTGCAATTGATGTCTGCATCAGGAGGGGGCAGTCCTGTGGGACTGAGCCCTTCACCTGTGGGGTCTGCACCAACTCCAGGTGGTTTGTGTTGGAGTTTCTGGGTGTGGAAAACACACAGAGTTGGTGTCAGGAGGATTGTGAGTGCACACATGGAGGAAATGGAGTTTTTCCTTGATGATGTCTGAGCACAGACTGGGAGCATCTTCCAAAGGAGCCCCATCACCCCCTGCTCTTCTCCAGCCTCTGTGAGCTGTCTTCTTCTGCACTCCCTCCCTAGACTTTAAGTCGGATGAATTACCCATCACACATAAAGAAGATAGTTCAGACCTTTCCATCTGATTGCATTTCTAAAGGACACCCTAAAAAATGAGAGTGGTCACCCCCTCCCCTTTGGTTAAAGTCACACCATTTTAAATTAGCATTCATTCTCAGACACACTTCCCAAGCTCCTTTATGAGATCCACTGTCAGGAACTTTATATCACCCACACCTCAAACACGCAACCCAAACACATGTCTCACTGGCATCCAGAAAGCTCACCCCCATCTAAAAATGGACCTCCACAGCCATGCTGAAGTCCCGTGCCAACTCACATAAATGGTGACCATCCGAGCGCAGACACACTGGGTTCTTTATGTCCCTCGCCCTGTTGGAAGCCGTGCACCATATGAATCGACTCTCTCCCAGCGATGACGACTCAGTCCAGAAATGTGCCCAACATCCTCAGGCATCCAAGAGCATCTCTGAGTTCAGCAACCATCCACAGCAAGGGCTGCTTCCCAGTAAATTAGAAACCTCAGAGGAACTCACAGACCTCCAGACCCACTCTGTCAGAATATCTCCCGCTGGGGACTGGGAACCAGTACTTTGAAGTGTTCCCAAAGTGGTTCTACTGTGAACCTTTCTTGGTAAAGATCCACGTCTGTCGCCTCAGCCACTCCTCGGCACAGATGAAGGGCAGGCTAGGGAGAGAAACCAGCCTGGACCACATCCCCTTCGGCCGTGGTCCTATGAAGAATTTAACTCTTAGTGCTTCCCTTCTCTGGTTGGCACACCTCCCACCTGTTGCCTCCTGTGAGCTTCCTGCAGACGCCCTCATGATGTCTATAGCCTTGCTTTCCCCTGAGGTGGAAGCTTGTCCAGGCCTCCACTCTCTCCAGTGTAAAGTCACACAGACCTGACCTCCAATCTCAGCCCAAGCTCACCCACTCTGGGACCCTGCGCAAACTGCTCAAAGCCCCGAAGTCTCCGTTTCTGACTCAGTGAAATCGGGGTTATCATTCCCATTTAACAGCCATTACAGACAC